CGTATGGTTCTCCCCCACTGTGTGTCCTGTGTGTGTGTGTGTGTGTGTGTGTGTGTGTGTGTGTGTGTGTGTGTGTGTGTTATACACTTTTAATGGCGCTCTCTGCCCCCTAGAGGCGATTGGAGAGATCTGAGAATGGACTACTTTGATGTTGCCACACAGATTAGATTTCACTGCTACAGTACATGTGTCTTGTTGTAGATTGATTTTATTGTTTTTGATATTTTGATGACTTTTCATGGCAGGGTGTTTGGTACAAGCATGGTGGAAGAGTACGAGGAGATAGCTGATCCCCCTGAAAGACCAGAGGATCAGGATGATGACTTGGGTGAGAACTCAGAACATATATTTATGACAGGAGGAAATTTCTCCACCTGATTAACTCAGTTTGACCTATATGGTATAATTTATATCCGTTATAAGAATAGTCTAGCCTCACTGAAGTGATATCTCATTCAGTCACAGTTGTTAGCTTGTTGTGAGAGTGGTGTGTGCTGATCTAGGCACTGCTTCTGACAGATTACCCCTCTGGATATGCACCTGGTGAAGTCAAGTTATCCAAGAATCTGATCGGATCAGCTAAGGGTAAGTCTGGCTAAAAATAAACTTCTGCTGTATCGTGATGACTTAGATTTTTACTGTGGTGTTTAAATTGTCTTCACAGATGTCATTTTGAACATGGTCAATAATATTGCTGTCAATGTTCTCGGCGGGGGCTCGGAGACACCAGGTACGACCGACACAGTCAGCTGGACATTTGTGCCACGTGGCTGCTCAAGCTCCAATTTATACAAGAAATGCAGCCATTATTGTATTTTCCCTAAACACACTTTTCACCTTTTGTATGGTGAAGTTTGTGAATAATAATTTGTGCAGTCAGTCTTAACGCTTTATTCTGTAATTACATTTTGTAGGCAATGTTTCATCTCACGAAGTGAACGTAACTGAGCCATCACTTCAGCTTGAAACCACCACACCTACAGATCTTACCTCAGTGTGAGTACCTGCTATGATACGAAATTGGTATAATGATATGAAATCCACCTAAATAATGCTCGGACATTATGATTCCTTAAATCTAGTTTCTCTTATGTGGAAATCTGGTTTTCCACTAACCTGTGCTCTGTGGCATAGTGGATAAGGCAGCTTTGCATGCTTGTTGGTGGGTGTTAAGGTTGGGCAGTATACAATTTTTATACCTTTAAATCTTCAGGCATTTATTATAAACAGCGCACATTACACAGCAGATTTTTTTGAATGAAGCTAATTAGAAGATTACCGTTGCTATTTTTAAAAATCCAGGGTTAGTGTAATACTGTATTGCTGCCAAACCCCAGTGGGTGTATTATTGAACTCTACCTTCGTTGTATTTAATATGAACTGTATTGATCTTCTCCATTTCTAGTCCAGACTCTGAAGATATCGAGACGGCACAAGACCCTGATATCCCCTCAGCTACAGCCCCCTCCTTAGAGCCCCCTGTATCTGCCACAGCTGATGCTGATACTACCAGACAAGAACTCCCCCCAGTGGAAGAAAACATTGTTATATCTTTAGAGAAAGATGAGGACGAGCCTGTCAGTTCCACAATCATCCTTCTGGACAAGGAGGAAGAGTTGGATGAAGAAGAATTAAAAAAGGATCATCATGAACAACAAGAAAGCCTGAACTACTGTTCATCTTTTCTTTTGTTGTCTTCTTCATGCTCTTGTGCAGCTTCCCTCCAAGAGTATCTTCATCAGCAGTGTTCAGTTCAGCTGACCAACAAGAGGAAATGCCAAACAACGGACAGAAAGCAAACAGTTCCTCCCACTGAAACACCAACTTGGCACCCACCCCTGTCTCCCTCTGCCTGCCCTGAACCCGAGCTGCATCACAGTGAGGTACATCAGCCCCATGAAAAAGAGCAAGCTTCTGAACAGGAGTCAGAGAGTGGAACCAGCCCATTAGAAGCATCACAGCCTGCAGGGGACACAGTAGAATTTCAGAAAGATTTCATGTCTGATCCTCCTGTGCTGGAGCCCAGTCAAACCTCGAACCTTCCCAGACTCACTTCCACTGACTCATCCTCTGCCAAACCGACCCCTGTTGTGGCGTTGCCACAGCTGTCTTCTGAGGAACCAGAAAATGAGCTAAGGCCAGAAAAGAGCCAGGATGTACTGGCTGCAGAGAAGCACATTGAGCCTTCAGCCTCTCTCAGTAGTTCCAGCTCTATGAAACCCATTGTCGGTGCTACTGAGGTATCACCCACTGAGGCACTAACAGAGGAGAAGCCTACCGCTGAGATTTCTCTGCTAGAGATAAACACCCCTGTCCAAGTCCTGGATACGATAGCTCAAACTCAGATTCTCTTTCCCACCACCTCCCCTCATTCAGAGCACCACACTGACCCACCAGTTGTACCTGAAAGTAGCACTGCTTCCACTGAACTACCCCCACCTGCGCCAGACACTAAAACAGAACTCGAGCAGTCTGGTGCCCCACCTGTCATCACAGACATTAAAACGGTGGATCTAACAGAAGACATTCCTGCATCATCAGGTGGCAACGATCAGCTGCCTCACCCTTCCTCTGCGGCTCCATCTTCCTCTCCCTCCTTGCCTACCTCACCGTCCCTCTCAGACATCTATGCAGAGGCCCCCAACGGCACCGAACAGAACGGCAACCTGGTGCACGGCTCCAGCCAGAAGGAATCTGTGTTCATGAGACTCAACAACCGCATCAAGGCCCTGGAGATGAACATGTCACTCAGCGGACGCTACCTGGAGCAGCTTAGCCAGAGGTGAAGACATGTTCACTTATGAACTTAGTGGAGGGTGATGGTAAAACTTATTTATGCAGCAACTTTTTCACATTCAATTCAAGGTATCGGAAGCAGATGGAGGAGATGCAGAAGGCCTTCAACAAAACCATCATTAAACTCCAGAATACTTCCAGAGTAGCAGAGGAGCAGGTGAGCAATGAAAGAGCACAGAGGGAATTGAGAGCTTATGTCAGATGTCTTTATTATTCATGGTGCCTTAGAAAGAAACTTTTGGGGGGTTTTTATAGTAATGACAGATCATGGGAATGTTGAATAGTTAGTTTAATAGATGAGGTACCTAGCTAAAGTAGCTGAGCTATCCCCAACAACAGAACTAGAAATAGAAATAGACTTGCAAGGCTGTGCAATAACTTAAAGTTGTAATTTGGTGATAGATCCTGCTGTTCCCTACAGAAAACAATGAATCTAATTAAGGACTATTTGAAGCTACATGAGTCACATGACCTGCTGCAGTATCTTAAGGCCTCTGGTTGACATCCACAGATATTGCAGTAAATGCACTAGTGAAGTGGAGTCCTTCATTTTTTGTTGTAAAGAACCATCATGCACTTTAAAAGCATACTTTAAATGAAACCTCAAATATAACCAGTAAAGTTTAAGAATTTAATTTCTTCCTTATTTGTGTGTATATATAAACACCACGTGCACAGCATTTGAAAACCTCAAATAACTAAAATTCGCAATTGTTTATTTTCACTTTTTTCTTGGAAATCCAGGATATTATGGGCGTTTATGAATAGATGCAATAAAACCAGGAATACTGCAAAAACAAGGCCACGTGCCAAAGGCTGCCAAGCCACTTTTATTTCCAGCATCTCAATCAGGAAATAGATATAACAACATTTAAATAAGGAAACTATATAGCAGCAAGTCAGAGAAACCGATGGCATTTCTAAAGGCTGATTACAATAATGAATGACTTTGACTTTCATCTGCATTTGACATATCTATCATACCTTTTGAAATCTATTTCAGTGACGTTGTGTGATGTGACGGCTGCGTGTTTGTGTGGTTACTTAATTTGTTGTCCTTTGTCTCTCATAGGACCAGCGTCAGACTGAGTCCATTCAGCTGCTGCAGGGCCAGCTGGAGAATATGACTCAGCTGGTCCTCAACCTATCTGTCAGAGTCAGCCAGTTGCAGAGTGAGGTAGATACAGTGCTCTGGGCCCAAAGCCTTTATTTGTAATCAAGAGGTTTTCAGCCGGGGATTAAACTGTGTACATTTAGTCTTTTCTTTGGACCTAGTAATTTGGATGCACCAGTGTGTTTCCCTGTCAGCTCATGACACAAACATCTTTAAGGCTGCTAAATGTGCCAACACTTTACGGCTTGTATTTCTCCTTCTCTGCATGTTTCTGTCTTTTATTTTGTTGCTTCTCATGTTGCCACAGTTTTGCTAGTGGTATAACCAGTGGTCTGTCTCCTAGGTGTCAGACAGGCAGAACAACCTGCTGCTGTCTCTGGTCTTGTGCCTTTGTCTTGGTCTGCTGCTGTGTGCCAACCACTTCCGCATCTCCACTGTTCCTCCAGCTGCACAACCAGAGCTGCCCATACCCAAGAGCTATACCTACTGCTGTCCTAAAAGGTAACCAGACCATACAGTCATGCTTTCTGCTGGAAAAGAAATATGACAGATACTATCATATACAAATACTGTTGCTATTACCATATTGATTAGAGTAAAAGATGAAATGTGGCAGATGTGTTTTTGAATTAAACCTGTTGAACAAAAAGCTGTACTCAAGGGTGTAGATGTGAAAAAGCATGGAGTGGCATCTCCGAACAGGCTGCTACAGTTAATGATGTGTGGTCACAGTGTTTGCATTGGCTTCTCCTCATTAAGCCAGTTTGTAGATAGTTACTTATCAGGACATTGCAGCTGGATTTGTGCTGTAAGCAATCAGACAGCCATGACTCTTGTCTTAATAAAGGTGCCACATGCAGTCTTTTCCCTCAACCCTTTACTGTTTCCGTAACAGGCCTTTGTCCTGTAATGAGACGGGCCTGAAGAGGAGCTCCTCCTTTCCACTCATACCCTCAGAGTCACTCCAGTTAGCCACCGCTGAAGGTATGGTTGTACTACATAAATTATAATACTGTTTCAAGCTTTTGTATCTTAAATACTAGCCAATCAGTCCAGTGTGAATCCTATTTATACCTCATTTTGGCAGATATTAACTTTATGCTTTGGTCACAGGCCCAGAAATGCTGCATGCAGAGGAAATGCAGAGTCATTGTCCTGCCAACATAAAGGTGAGTACACATAAATGTATGCAATGCCGCACATTAGTGTAAAATAGAAGTTATGCTGGTTGCACGTGATGAACAGTTGTTTACAGCCATTTTTTCTCCCTAACCTCTCCCCACACAGAGGAGACATCGCAAGATAAAACCCATAGGGAAAGTGGAGACTCTGAAACCCTCTTTTCATCCTCCAGAACCGAGTAATGGAGCTGTTGTATGTAACGGCGTGCCTGGCAGCACAAACCCAACCCCCCATATAGCAAGGTTACTTCAACCTGCTGCTAGAGACTTGCAGTCAGAGGGCAGCTCGGAGGGATCATCTCATTCAGATGACCCCTCGTTCTGTGGAATCACCACAGCCTGTCCTCGAATCTGTGACAGCCTTCCTCCACACAAGACCCGGGCAGAGAAGCGGGCGCTAAGACGCAGGCGTCCCAAGCCTAGCGCGGTCGTGGACTTGCTTCACGCTCCTCAGAGGGACAAGGGGAAACCGTTGACCATCTCTACCATAGAGGACATCATGAATCGGAAAACAGAGCAAAACTCTAGGACATCTGGGGTAATTGTCACCCTCTCAGGTCCTGTCTGACTTTAAAAAACAGAGTAGTTTTAAGTTTCAGCGTGAGTCAATCCCTTCACTCTTACTGTTTGGTTTTGGTTTTTGTTCATTCTTGACCTTTAATATTTAAGTTTTTCGAAGAAATGTCTTCACAGCTTACAATTAAAGCTTTTCTTCTTTGGACACACTGACGTACAGACTTATCCGAGATTTATTTTCTCCATGCTGTCTGCATTTGGACACATATTCCACACCTCTTCTGCAAAGTATTCTTTATGTTTAAAACATCTGTCTCACTTATATCGTTTTCTAACTTTTATTATGCCTCTGTACAAGAAATGGTTTCATAGTAAATCTGCCAGGAAGTTTCCTCAGACCTTAAAGCTGAAGTGCGGGGTTTTACCTCAGTCAGGTTCATCTTCAAAATAAAAGCACAAACTATGTGGGGTGTACAGCACAGTGGAAGTACTTGGAAGAAGACAGACCAAAGTGTTTGTGAATTTCTATATTGATGTAGACCAACAGAGCAACAGTACACACTGTAAGAGACACAAATAAGATTCTATCCTTCCAAGGATTATATTGTTATGGTTGTGGTACTGGTTGAGTGAACCTTAGAGAAGAAAGAGGCAACCGTGTACGCGTGACATGGGCGGTCTTCAAGGAAAAAGTGGGCTTTATTTTAATGATGCTGTATACAGCAACTAGTGCTTGACTATATTTCAATACAGGGCCCATTCAACCTTAAAACAGTCATAAGAAAATGGATCATTCATCAAGTCATCACAGATCACAGGAGGTAAAACAGGACATTTAATAAGAGTGGATTCTTGTGTTTTTCACCAAGAAAATACTTAAGACATTTATTTGGACTCCCTATGCAGGCGTAAACTGCTGTGTACATTAGACAGTATAGTACACCTCTTACAGAGGCTTCTGTGAACCTGGACTATATGTTTGTGACAAATGCAAAGTTATAGCACATACAGCTAAGTTTTAATTTAGGGGAGGTTACTTTTTAATACATTATGAGTGCAGATTTTGGTTGTTAAACAGTTGAGTGCTGCAAGCACTGTCCAGGTCTAAATGCAATGTTTAGAGGTTTTTAATAGTTTAACAGTATTTTGAGAAATTCAGTGAAGGGTTTAAATGATGAGGCCAGTCATTTTCTATCTAACAGTATTTTCAACAGTCCTCATATAGACACTAAAGCCAACAATGGTCTACCTCACAGTTAACGTCTGTCAGTGTGTCAGTCCGGGATGAGCTTCCTCGGCTGTGCCATAGACCTCCACTGTTGTTCAAAAACACATCAACGAAACACACCGCTGTGACATATTCCCTCATGAAAACAACAGACCCTAATATTCTTTAAAGATGTTGCCGCAAAGGCTGCAAACGATGATGACTTGGCGCCCATGCATGAGTTCTCTGAATATTCTTAACAAATATCAGGGTCTTGTGTTTTGTAATGAGGAAACATGTCACAAAAGTGCAGCAGTGTGTTTCCCTGATGTGTTTTTAATCATTTGTTGAACAACAATAGAGGTCTATGGAAAAGACAGATAAGCTGATCCAGGAGAGACACACTGACAGGCATTAATAATGAGTAGAGGCAATTCATTGTTGCTTTAAGTCTCCATATGGAGAATGTTGAAATTACTGTTTAAAAACAGATGACTGGCCTTATCCTTTAATTTTCATTATGTGTTATTAAAGGTTTAACCAGCAATTCAGAAGTTGCAAGGTTGTGTCATACCTTATTCCAAAATGATGATGGAAAAACAAAATCTTCTACCTTTGGTTTTTGTTATACCTCAGAATAGAAATGCTGAGTTTTTTCTTTTTTTTTCAATAATCTGAAATACAACTGGCTGGTGTGAGTGGCAGCTCTTGAATTGTACACCACTTTCTACAGCTTAACGAAGCTTAATTCACATTCCAAGTGATGCTGCAAATACTATCAAGGGAAATTTAAAATTGAGGGTCTGGATGACTTTGAGCTCAAACCTTGTGAGAGCTGCAAGCATCCTCTTCACTCAAGAACCCTGAGCAGGTCAATGAGCCTGTCCCCCCAGCCTCACGGGTGTTGTTCTGTAACCGACCCTGGGCCCTGAGCACTGGAGGAGAATAATGTTTCCAGAAAGAACTTCCCTGGTGACATAAGACTGAACGGAAACAGCTTCTGGTTGTATTCATATAGTATTAATATAATGTTCTGTGCTTGCACAGTTTTGTGTGGAATTCAGCACCAGATAGAGTGGATTTAATTTACAGGAATATTGACACCTTAGGCATTTACAGTAAAGAGTGATGCTGCAGAAAAATCAGATGATAAAGGGTCAAATACAGATAAGAAGAGCAAATATGGCTGAAGTTTCTCATTAGGTCACAGAATACATTCAAATAGCTTCCTGTGATTGGCTGAGTGATATTTTTTCCTGTTTATTTATTCTTTTCAACTAAAAGGCTCATTTTGCAAACTTAAAAAGATTCATACGTGTGAGATTTGCAGTTGTACATGCAATTGAAGTGGAGCTGGAAGAAAACACGCATGCAGGTAGACATTTATTTATTCACATGACAGTGGTTTTGGTAAAAAAAAAAAAAAAAAAAAATCACCCAGGTGTATAGGCAGCAGACAACTGAACCAGAGAGTCTTCTAATGTAAGTTAGGACTTTTGTGTCCAGCAGGGGGCAGTGCAATGTTTGTGTAAACCTACACTGTATGATTTGTGATCTACCTTCACCATCAATTTCCATGTGATGAGTCATTACTCAGGATGGAAGTAAATTACTTCAAGGACTAGCGCTGCTCTCCACCATGCCGCCTTCTCTCCACTCATTTGCTTTTGCCACCAGAGGCAATGAGCTGCTGTCCTTGTTATCCTGTTTGTGTTCCCTTATTAAATGTATTTGTTAGACTGAATCAAGGACTGTTCCAGATGAATGTGCTTACTGTTTTGTAATATAAGTTTAAAGTGTTTTATGGAAAACAGAACAGTGACTGAAAAGGCGTTTGAAGACAGGATCTTTTCATGTGTGGCTTCAACCAAAAGCATTTATCCTGCAGCTGTTTCTCAGGCTGAGAAACTGGATTAATTCCATTTACTTTTACATGGGCTACTCTTGCTCGCTGTGGTCAGCTACAGTCAGAGCGGTGGCAGATGTCAGAAATTTGCTTATTACTTCCTTATTCATCTGACCTGGCTGGATAGCAGGAGCCTTTCAGAGATAAACATGTCGGTTGCTCTTTATTTTGTTAACAGAATTCCTTTGCCCTCCCTCATCCCAAAGAATATCTGTAAATGCCGGGCTGCAACCCTCTTTTCCTGGGCACTCTGGTTTTTATCCGACTTCTGTTATGGAGTGAATTTTTTCAGTATGGTGTGCTACATGTGTATTTATTTTCATATACAGGTGTACTGTCAGCTTGCTCACTCTTGTTTGACTACTTTTGAAAATGAAAGAAATGAAGTCTACTCTCTCTGCAGAAATGCTTTAAAGGGTTACTCCACTGAATTTCCACATACTGTACATAAAAGTCAGTTTACTTGTCATTATAGATGCTGCTCAACCAGTGAAGCAGTTGTGCAATTTCTGTTGCTTCTCTGCACCGTAAATTCTAACAAGTTTATCTAAAATAAAAAGCTATTTACCTTGGAAAAGTAAAAACTTAACCCTATAAAACCATTTGTATCATATTTGATACGTGAGGTTTCTGAGCAAAAACAATCACCAAAAATGCCCCATGTATCAAATGAGATACAAAAGAGATAGAAATAGTCTAAATAGTATGGCACCTCTATTCCTATATACCTGGACTGTCTGTCTATGCATATATGGCAAATAAAAATTGTGAATCTTGAATTTTGAATCATGAATTATAGTTTGGATTTTGTTAAAAGGTTTAACAACCATCTCATTTCCAAAAAATTAGGCTATTTTTTGATATGTTGGGCTTTACAGGGTTAATTGTGTCAAGTTATAGGAAAAGATTAGAAATGAACATGCATTATTTGAGTAAGCTGTATATATTTTAAGGGATATGGTCAGTCATTTTCTACATATACGAGCAGTATTTTCAACAATGAACTGTCTCTACTCACAGTTAATGTCGCCAACCTGGATTATCTTATTTATAGCTGGGCAGAGCGTAGTGGAACAGGGAGAAGGAGCGCTGGGTGGAGCACAGCAGGTTGATTTGGAGTTTCATCTTAAGTTACATACTGTAGCTTTAATATATTACAGACACAAAGTTTCCACCATGAATGGGCTCTTCAAAATACTAAAAAGAAAGGTCTCTGGAGAGTGTTAATTTTCAAACAATGCATGGTCTGCCATCTCTGGAAAAACAGCTCCCTATTTATTTTACTTAAATATTTTGGGTTGCTCAGTTTTTTGACCCCAAATAACAGGTAACTTTCTTAAATCATTAAACTGCCGATAATATTTACGGTGTGGAGAGAGCATTTGTGAGGCTGAAGGTAAAACTAAACCGCGTACAGATGTTAGTGAGAGCACCATAGCAACAGGCTGTGCGTGCTGTTATGCTGTTTTGTTCAGCTTGACTGATCTCAGAACTCACTTGAACTCCAGTTTTTTTTTTTTGTACCAGACAGGGATGGTCAAACAAAATGATGGCATCAGATGCATTATGGGAAATTTAGAATTCAGCATTTTGGACTATTGACCCATTCTTTGGACTAAAAATCACAATATCTCAGCCTCTGTTGCTTTGATTTTGGTCATTCTTGGCTAACTATGCTTCTTGTGAGTCCTCTAACTTTAAGGAAGTACAATTTTAAATAACTGGAGCGACACTTTAATCAGTGCTTATATACTCACTAATATCTATCTATCATGTGGTTTTAACCAAAATTAACATTGAGACTGTAAGACTGTAACGTTAACTGTAAGACTGAACTGGTCACCATGAAGAAGAACATTCACCCACTTGTGTTTGTGTAGGTGGATAAAGCTTTTCAAGTGCCAGATCTCATCGGCCCTGAGTGCTCGTCTGTCCTTTAAAAGGGCAAGCACTCTACCTTCACTTCCTTTTTGTCTTTTTTTCTCATTACTTCACCTTCTCTCCTCATATCCATCTATCCATTTATTGACTGACTCACACCTTTAGTTATATTTTTCCTCCCACTCTTACTTCTCTACTTCTTACCCTACCGTAGCTCTTCCCTTTTCTCACCACACGCACCACTAAGTGCACATTCTGATCACGGTGCTTTTTTTTTTTTTTTTTTTGTGGGGGGGGGGTTTGATGTTCTGTGGATACCATTCAAGACCTCAGCATTAAATACAGATTTACAGTTTCTGTCATGGATTCTTTCATCCCTTCACTTTTCCATCTTCACGAGGGTTATTGCACATTTTCTTCTTTTTACTTAAACTGCAGCGCTCGTTATATTGCTATGGCCCAATTTCCTGCATTTTCCTTCCAGCGTTACACAATAAATATACGGGTAGTTGTGATTTAGAAACAGTTCATCTTCTTCATGGTTGGGCTTCAGTGGCATTCTGACAGGGCTGTTTAGTGGAGTGCTTAGCAAGAGGCCGATAAGGCGTTGGCAGCCACTTGAAATCAATTCGGCCATGCCTTACCCTCAGTAAGCCCACTGTCACAGGAGTCCCATTCCCATGTGCTTGTGATTAAACCTGGTGCACAGAGCTGAAGTGGCCATTCAAAAAGCTGCAGCAGACATGGCACATTTGATAAGCCTTTAGCTGGAGATGTATGTACAGTATATGAATAACAGTCTTCTCCAGGGAAGCTTCTGCTTAATGTTTCATGGACTTATTTCCTCCATGCCTCTCTGTCATCTGAGGTTTGCTGCTGTTGCATGTCACACACAGAAACATAAGGTGTTCTCTGTGATCCTGGCTCACCTGACACAGAAACCTGAGGTGTTTGAAGGGTAATGATGGATATACAGTACATTCACAAACACACTCATATGTCTTGCATCAGTGTGGGTCGAGAGCAGATGTACATCTCTTGTGTGTATGTCTCAGCTGAGCCACGTGCTTGGATGTGACATGTTGAATAAATACAGGATAGGATGTACATCATTCAGCCTGGAGTAAAGACTGATCATGTGTGACATGCACTTGCACAGAAGCATGTAAGCTAACCTTTACCCTGCTGATGAATGAGTCACAACCCAGATGTCAGAGGTGACCTAACATGGTGTGTGCCTCTGACTGCAGCCAGACTCTGTCTTCAGTACCACACATAAAAACCATGCTCTGAAAATCTCAGCTGTGTGTAAGGTGTGAGATAAGTGGGACACCATATTTAGACATCTTTGCGACACAGTAGTTTTCCCTGTGTAGTGATGTCAATTTGTGAAGTTGGGTGAACACCAATCAAGTGAGTTGGATATTGTATGTGGAGTGCCTCAGGGTTCTGTTTTGGGACCTAAATTATTTATATTATACATTAACGATATATGCAAGGTTTCTGATTTAGTG